TGAAATCCAATTGTACCCGTCCTCTGCTGATGGACCTGTTGGGGAACTGCAGCAGAGGGCGGGTACAATGCTAGTTTACTATTGGCTATTGCAAATTGAAATAGCCAATAGTAATGTCCCAATGCTTTTCAATAGGAAAATGTATTTTTTTTTCTTTTCCGAAGCTAGCCGAAGGATCGGCCTAAGCTACGACCAGATCCTTCGGCAGCTTCGTGAATAGACCCCTATGTATTTCTAGTGGATATGCAGTTAAATATATTTTATTCAAACAGCGCAAACCCCCTAGCATAGAAATCCCATAGTAGGAGCCCTCCAATAATTCGATATTCAAGTACAATATAAAGTGCATCCAAACATATTTATTTAAACATTGCAACAACCAACATATTAACCTACAGAACCATCTGTACAAATGCAATCTATACAATACCTGAAAATGCTCCACTCTGGTTCAAGTTTCATAATTCTAGGATCTTCCACATACTCAAATGCTAACTCCTGAGGAATTTTAGATTTGTCAATCTGAACAGTCACTTTCACCTTTTCTAAGCCTTCAAGAGAAGCTGTGGTGTTACAGAATATCTCATTTGCTGTTCTCCTGCAATAAAGGTAGTGAATATTATAGCTAAACAAACAGCACACAATAAACTCAATAAACATATATAATGTATACATGCTTGTCCATATATTAAAGATGCACCAACCACAAATGCACAATAAAAGCAACTTTATCGAATTGCTAAATTCTCTGGACATAAAGATATTTTATACCTAACACCTAGCCAGCATCTAAAAATGTATAAAATGTATAAAGGCTAAGCAATTACTCAATTCATGAAAACTGGTGTCTTTGTCAAATACCTTGCCTAGCTATGATAAATGAAAGATAGATTACTTTTTACATTAAAATAGGATTGGTGGGCTGTAGTAAAACTTTAAACCTTACAAGAACTATCCACCGAGGTGGACCGGCGGAAGGGGGGGGGGGGGGTTGGGGGGGGAAATTTTGAAAAAGGGCTTGGCGGGGTAATTTCTGAAAAGATTTTGCAGATAGTATATACATCAAAGTAATTGTAAATTATCAGTTTACAGTTTTAGTACATACCTAAAGCATTTAAGAAATCAAGTTAGGTATTTGATTAAGCCTTGTGGGTGAAACACGTAAGGAGAGAGTTTAATTTGTTTTGGGGAGCTTTGGAAGGTGTATGCTGTTTCAAGGATTAAAATCAAATTTGCATTTATTTGGAAGAAGCATTAAGTGCGGCTCTTCTTGGACAAAAATTCAGACAGGTGGGAGCGAGCCTTTTGCCAGCACTTGGAGGTTCCTCTTCATATAGATCTGACTGCAGAATCTGAGCTGTGAGAGTTGTGGATTATTTTGAGGTATTTTTATTTGCTTCAAAATATAAAAAATTATTAAGAATCCACTAAAACATATTTTAGGGCCACTGACATGAAATAGAGACACTTAAATAACCTCACCAATAGGGAAAATACAGAGGCTGCCATTTATAACATATCCTAAAAATTAGGGATGCTAAATCGTGCCGATTCAGAGTATTTGGGTAAGTACTCATACTCGCCCAAATGCTCCAATACTTACCCCTGAAACCGTTCAGAGGGAGATTTCCTCTGACCAACGGGAGGGAACATAGAGTCGGTTTCCCGGCCAATCAGGAAACCAGGCGGCAGGTAATTACTTGGTGTCCGGCTTCCTGATGGGCCAGGAAGCCAACTTCATGCTGTTTGGCTGACTCGATGCTGATTGGCTGTGAAGCCGGCTTCGCAGCCAATCAGCTTCGAGCCGGCTTCCCGGCCAATTAGGAAACCAGGTGGCGGGTCATTACGCGCCTTCCCAATCTGAATCGAGGCGGTCAAACAATCCAGCTTCCTGGCCAATCAGCATCGAGCCGGTGTTCTATCACTTTAGAACATCGGCCAAACAGCATGGAGCCGGCTTCTCCGGCAATCAACAAGCCAGGCAGGGGGTAATGGCTTTGCTTTCTGATTTGCATATTTGTTCTGGCTCACAAACACAAAAACATCCAGAGGATCAGAAATGGCAGCCTCTATATTTCTCATGGCAGGTCTACTTTCAGAAGGGGCGGGGCTATACTTCTCAATACCATGAACAACCAGGAATTACAAGATATCTACTCACCGCATGTGAGCGGCCGTTTTAATCAATTTTAACTGTAAGTGACTGCTTTTTTGTTTAATAAACGTTGATGTCGACTACACTATGAGGAGTTCTTTTTTCCTTTTTGTTTTTTCGCTAAATTATTGATCCATGTGACGCTGATGAGACGGCCGTGGGACTACTAATTGGCTTTTGATCTCTCTTTGCCTACGAACACCGTGGGTCTGGTGAGTGCGCATCCCAGAGGGGAGTTTTGGCGTGGACACTTGGTGTGGGAGAAAGATTGAACTTGTTTTTGAAGCTTATTCTCATCATCAATACATCATCTATACCTGAACTTTATAATTACTTTTGAATTCACATGGTGATTCATCACTCCTACTGATATTTTTGAGCTAATTTGCTGTTAACCACTTTTATTAATTTTTGTACTTGATACACGTGTGATTACAACATAATTTTTATTAAGGTATAGTTAATTTAATTCATCTTAATGCACTTTTGCACAAAGTGAAATTAATATAATATACTCATATTTTTGTTCACCGGTTATCACTTTAGTATACCTTTATGATTGCAAACACTCATTCAGATTTTGATCACATGTTGTTTTGCTAACACTTATTTTATTCACTTATTGGTGACCCCGAGCACACCCATCTACATACTTTCAGATATTGCACAGCACCTATTTACCCAATAGCACTGCATTGCAGTGTGTTAACAAACACCCATTAAAGTGCATTGTCTTGCGCACTACCGTGCTTACATTAAGGCAGCCTACTTATTTTGAATGGGCTGCCAATGTACCACAAGGCAGCCAAAATATGCATATGACCCTTTTTTTAATGCAATGCATAGCATGTGGGTTGTGGTGCTCTGCAGTGCTAGTCCATTGCCTCCTACTATATAATTCAAAATGAAGGCCACCACAACACATAGATGTATGTTGCTGTAACATGTGGCAAAATGCGTGCTTTGCTGCCTATTATTGTAACACAGACCTGATTGGGGCCTAAGAGAGAATGATGAGTGTCAGGAACAGGGCTTGGTAACTGCTGGATTTAGACAAGGAATACATAAATTGATAACATTAAAACACAGTACAATATACTGCAGGACTGGAAAGCACCTGACACTTCCTTTTCTACACAGCACATCTACATCATCTTTATTCCACTATGAACTTACAAATCTTTTTATACACTACAGTAAATATGCCTAAGGCTGGAAAGATTTCTGTATGCCTTTCATAATGACTGCATCCACCTTATTCACTTTAGGTATTTTGGTCCACTTCACTTCAAGGATGATCTAAAGAGCTATCATAAATACCAAAGAAGAAAAAATATGTTTAATCCTATTACTAGTTTCTTTTTTATCATACAAATGGGAACAAGATAATTTTGTGTAGATTTAAAGCACTTTGTGAAATAGCCTGTAACCTTAATCTGAATATATTATGTATGCCTCATAATATATTCTCAAGAAAAACTGCATTAAAAGAACATTATCTGACAAATCATAAAACTACTGAATACTAATACATTCCGTATGTGACTGTCTCATGTCACTGCTTTAATCTTGTAAATCACTTGCACAAATGCAGATCATTATAAAACAGTTTTGATATTTTATACACACAGTTATATAACCAAATTTTATTTTCCTCTTGTGGCTTAATTTTACTATGATCAATAAATAATGCAAATAATAAAAAATGAATATGTGTCTAATCTAAGCACCACAGATAAGCCATGGTCACAAAAAAAGATGATGAATGATTATGCAATGCAAATGATATATCATAGATAATACATGGCAAAGGCAATATTACCTGTCAAAAATGCACGGCTGTCCACCAAACATTACTTTCACGCTACTTCCTGCACTTAAGTTTGTTCCGGTGATGGTCACTTGTGTCCCTCCTGAGACGGGTCCTTGGGTGGGCTCTAATTTTGACAAAGCCAATGTCTGTTAAAAGAAAATGAGTTACTTTAATCACTGATGTCTGCAGTTAGAAATGTATTAATTGTATGTGTCTATATAATTATTTCATAATTGAGAATTTATATATGTTTTATTTAGTTTCTTTTCATTTAATTTGAATGTTTATAGTTTTTCCTTTATTTTTAAACATGTCTCTGTTTTTACATATTTAGATGTAGGAGGTCATCATCTCAGATAGCTCCATTTATTCAATAGTGGTAGTGTGGTCAGTAGTTTAGCATTACAAGTACCATTCAGTCAACAGCAGTAAGGTCTAAAGCTTGCCATATGCATTAGAACTCTATTAGACATACATTTATGAAAGAACCATCTCACAATTAGGGAAAATTACTAAGACTAAAACAGACAAAATCTGGAGCAACTGAGCATGGCATCCCATCAGCTTCTATCTTTTATTTACAAACATGCTCAACTGAACAAGATGAACACAGAATCCGAACTGGTTACAATGCACAGCTACTCCAGATTCTGTCTTGTCCAGTTTTAGTAAATTTGTAAATGAGTAAATTCCCCCCTTATGTTTCCTGAACTAGTTTCTCCCCAAAGCTAAGTGCAGCCAAAGTTTTCTAACCCACCCTATCATTTTGTTGCCTAAGAAAACTCATTCTGAGCTGTTGTTTGATTCCCTACAGACAGTGTATCACTGTCTAATTCAACTACAAATTGCAGCATCAGGAGACTATCATCTAATTTCTATTGGCATCTTTAGGCTGGCCATTCATAAGTGTTGAGAATATCTTTTGATTTAACAGGAGTATCAACACCAAAAGTCTGTTCCATTATCTTCATAGAAAATAGACAAATTAACTCATAACATTTCCATGCCCAACAAGAAGTAATTCCAAGTATCACAACCAACCAATAACATCATAAACGCCATCTCTTGGTGTCTGCACAGTGTAACTAAACATTCTTCTAATTATTCAGAATGCTTGGCTAGAGAGGTTGCACAGCTCAGAATGACTGACATAGTTTGCAGTCCTACCCTGAGGCCTTTTCAAAGCAAAGCTTAATTTGACTTGAAGAAAACTGTATAGAACTCATATTAAGTAACATTTATGAGAACCAAGTTAAATTTGTGAACTTAGCATCATGGCAACTCACCATAAAAAAGCAAGAGGAGTTTACTAAATGATTTTTCTTTGTTCCTAGATTTGTTTTTTTTTATCTCACATACATGAGTTAAGGCCTGCCCTACTGTGTCTTCTAGTAATAGCTCAGATATATCTCTAGTAAGATGGAAATTCCCTTCCAGCTTTTTGCAACCCTATTGTGAATTTAACCTTCCGAGGACCACCAAAACCATCAGTCTAAGGGGATTCATTTTTGTATTTAGAATGTGATAACATATGATTACTGTCTAATACAGGAGATCACAATGATACAGAAATAAAGCATAAAAAATGCCTATTTCAGAAATGAAAATCTGGAGTGTATACTTAGATTAGCATTTTAATGGAAAAACTCCTAAGGACTGCAGGAGAAGAGAACATCTGCATTCAAGTGATGAGTTATGCAGAAGTGACAGCATATTCACAAACAATGGAGTCAGTGACTATATGAAAGCTGAACCTGCTATTGCTTGACTATGTGAAACTTTTGAAATTTGGGTCTGGAAAATGTCATTTTAACTACAGTCATTATGGGCCAATTACTGACCAAGCATTCTTTCACAATAAAAAATGATTTAACGCAATATACATTCCATAGTGGTATATTGTATACACATACACACCATGCCATGTTCTCATCAGCAACACCATACTTATCATTTGTGTAATTCGTTTCTGAACATTAACTAAATAATCAATATTTAGTATAGTATCATAGCAATGCTGTTATCCCCTATTCTATTTGTTGAAATAATTTGTCATGCATGGTGTTATTTTTTAGAGGATATAATGAACAGCTTAAAAATATCCTCATATGGACCAAAACATATGGCTCTAACGAATGATATGTACACCAGGCTTACATTTGGTGCACCAGAGCTTGGGATATGTATAGTTTCTTTATTTCACAATGTAAACTAATATGATGTATGTCACAAAGTAGGTATTTGTAGTCTTTAAGTACCGACCTGTGTAAGGGTTATTTTTAGGGGTGTTTGACTTTGAGCAACACACATGGTAGTTCAGAGGCTGCATTTGACCTGCTTTGTGTTCTGCTGTGTTTCCTTGGATGTAGTATGTCTTACTGAGGGGCATTTAAACTGCAGACAAAGCAGATCAAATGCATCCTTTTCTTGTCAAACAGTGTGTTTTTCATTGAATACAGCTGTATTTGCTTGAATGGAAACACAGCGTTTGACAAGATCACTCACAGACATTAGTCTTAAATACCTGGAAAATATTGTAACTATACAGCCAATGCAAAGAAATAAGTATTTTAGTAAGCAATGCTGAATTTCCATCACAAACATTGGTGTCCAAAGCATTACCCCTAGGATCATTTGTTTTACACATAACATTTTCTTGGTTTACTGGTTCTAAACTGGCTCAAAATATATTGGTTCATTTATTAAAGGCAAATAGGCTGTTCCCTTTACTTTACAAGGAAATATTTCCTTAGATTAGTGACTGAGTTGAAACTCTACAGACTTCTAGACTTCCATCATCCAATCAAGCAAAAATACAGTTTTTTATTTTATTTTCTTTGCACATCATTGGATATTCTTTGCAAAGTAAATTTGAACTCCATCCACTAAGCTAAGAGCAAATTCACTTGCAAAGTTTAACACCCTTTTTGCCTTATTTAAATCAAATCCATAGTTTCAATGCTTAAGTAAGTCTATATTAGATTTATACTGATATTAGGCAAAAAAATGTGTGACCAATACCTATAGAAGAAAAAAATGGACTTTGCCTCTTCTGCCTTTAGGCAGATGAAACACTATATGGGCAAAAGCATTTGTGGACACCAGATTATCCCACCTACTGTAAATCTAGCCATGATAGTAAATAAAGCAAACCCTAAAGCAATCTTGACTACAAAACTAATCTTGTTTTTGTTTATAAATTATATCTCTATCTAAAGGTAAGAATTTAGCTAAGAATAGAAGGTAGTGGGGCAAACCATATACACTGAGGCTTACCTTGACAGTTGTGGTGCTCTAAAGAAATACTGCTAATCTTCCTTTTAAGTCAATGGGACCAACACCTAACTCTGATTAATATTAGAAGCAGCAAGAAGAACTTTTTAGCACTAAATTTAAACAGGGGGTCTACCAAATTAAGTAGTAGGTATTATAATAAACATCCACCCTTAAAAAAATAAATGATGTTTTGTCAAGTTGAATAAAAATATTTTTAATGCTTTTAAACAAAGTTAAGTGTTAAAAAATCCTTTACACTTTCAACTAAAACTGGAAGTACAATGAGTTCTTAAATAATAGTGCGTATTTCTTCATATTTATGTATTCACACACTGGGAATTTGGAAGAAAAGTGGCTATGAACAATTATTTTAAATCATCTACCATTGTATAAGTCACACGCTCACTAGGAGAGCAGATCAAATATACAGATAGCATGGCTTAGTGGCACTTTCTTAACAGAAGGTTACTCTTAAGATACTGGACCTAATTTATACATATGATTATTACTAATAAAAACAAGGTGTTGAGCCTCATATTTCAATTAGTTAGACCAAGAACATATTTCTGTGTAATTAGTGTTCACTGTTGTGGGGTTGTCTCTTAGATACAGCACATACATATGCCAGGATGTGGTAAATATCCCTTAATTAAGATGAACCAGGTCTAGTTTACAAGTTATATACAATGATTGCCTGAGTAAGATCCTGACACACAATCTATTATTGACATGCTTAAAATCGTGGATTGTAAAAAAAAACAACAATATCCTGTGTTTAAAGTTTGGTGAAGGGCATTTGAGCAACTAGTTAGACATTTTTATTATCCAATTGCAGAAGTGCAAGAATACCCATTTTTTTCTATATAAGGAGGCATCTTGTGGCCCTATTCAAAGAGACAGCACAAAGAAACACATTTATGTGAGCATGTCTTTTATTGTTAACTCCACCCAAAGACACATATTCTAATCACACTCTCTATGCTCCTTATGCAACACTTTGGAACACACCACAGCCAGCACCACAAGATTTTGTTTGTTTGCTAGTGCTGTCTACAGAAAACCACCAAGTCTTTTTTTCTCCAAAACATTTTTAGAGATTTTTTTTTCATTAGCAGCAACCACATCCGCAGACAGACAGGAATGCATGTGTTAAAGTTTCCTCAGCACAGTGTGTCAGCAACTTTCAATGATAGAGATGTGGGTGGTCCAGGCTTTGTAATTGATAGCCTATCCAACTGTCGAACACAGCCAAGCCATCAGGCACCAACTCAGAAGCCATTAGGTGCCTGCCACACGTGCCAGTGGTTGCCGAGCCATGGTCTACCCCCTCACTGCTCTATCATATACTTAAAAAATGTTTACCTTTACATACATTAACACATATGTTTTCAGATTCCAAACAGAAGAAGACTTTGAGGGTTATTCACAAAGCCGTAGCTTCGGCTGATCCTTCGGCTAGCTTCGGACCCAGGACCCCTTCGGTTCAGTAGAACCGAAGTGCTGCTGTACGTGCTATTCACCATAGCTCGTACAGCTCCGAAAGTTGGCCGAGTGGCTCAGTGCAATAGCCAGCCTACTATTGGCTATTCCAATTTGAAATGGCCAATAGCAGCCTAGCTATTCATTCTTATGCTATTTGTTTTCTTATTTCTTTGCTCTGATGGCAGCCTGCGGCAGCTGTCAACATAATAGAAAAAAAAACATAGCAGGGGAATCAGCAAATAACAGGGAGCTAAAGCTTCCACTGTTATCTGATATCATGGTGGCTCCGCCGAGTTCTCAGTGTCTAATGGCAGTTCAGCATCCCCTGGTTACCAGGTAACCAGGAGAGGCTGAACTGTCATTAGCAGGGACGTGCAGTCAGGGGAGG